CCTGTCCCTGTAATGGTGTTTACCTGGATAAAAGCACATGCTCGATGGATTGAGGCAGGACTATGCTTGATGTCCTCAAACTTACAGAAGGAAAGAGAAGGTAAGGTGACAGTGCCACTCAGTGCCTTGGTAGAGTTAACTATTTCTGAAAGAGGAGTTTCACCCAGGTGGTTAGTAGGAAATTATTAGTTAATTTCCATGTGGGAAGGGTACCTTAGTGCTTAAACAAAGTGTACAACGCGAACATAGAGTTTACAAGTTGGGACAGCAGATGTGGAAATGACCATTGGGATTGAGTGCAGTCCCTGAAATTTTAGGTAATTGTGTAATAACATTTGATCTGAAAGATTTATTTTTTTTTAAAGCACCCTCTGGCCATCACAAAACACAAGCAATGCCAAGTGCCTTGTAGCAAGCTGGAAGGTTTTTCTGTAAAGCTTTGGAACTATAATACAGCACAGAAAATAAGTAGGTGAAGAGCTTTACCAGCGTTTCAGGAGAGTTGAATATCAAGTGAAAGAAGTACTTGGAAAATTGCCCTTTCTCAATCATGCTTTTCCTGACAATGTGCCCAACGGTAGGAGATCTGCAGTCATACTCTGTATCTGCCCAGCAGCTGAAGACGGAAAAGTGTGGAACAAAAGTAAATACCAATGGTTATTTTTTGTCTCATCTCCCTGAAGCCTTTTTCCACGTCCAGTCTGGGCTCACTTTGCAGTTTTAGGTCAATGTATTCCCTTGGTCTTGCAATATAATGCATTTAATCTGTGGGAAGCGTTGTTGATGTCAGAGCAATAAATAGGCATATCCTTAATGTAAATGTCAGCTCTCTTCTGAAATCTCTTCCCCGAATCCTGTGCTGCCTCTGTTCTGCAGAGCCTTCCCCGTCTCGTGGGGACTGGGGAGAAGGTTACACGCGATGGGGCGGTGTCGGTGACGGGCTTAACAGATCATGACTCAGTGCTGGAAAAAATGCAGCTAAATAGGTTGTGGCTAAAAATAGTTGACTGTGATGGAGAAAGACAGGCAAAATTAATTGAAAATAAAGATGATACTAAGCCTGCAGAGCCTGTTAGCCTTATATCCAACTGTGGGAGCTGTTGCACCCAAACCCAGCAGGATTGTGCTGATGCGGGCGGTGGTCAGGGTCTGCCCTCTGTGTTCTGCAGGTGATAGAAGTGATCTAATATGTGTTTGGTATGGTGTCATTCTAGATCCCAGCTCTTCTCGGCACCATGCACCATTGCTCCAGCTTTGCCATAGCCTGACCTCACTGCTTGGGGTTTTAGAAGAAAGGGAGTGATAGAGGTTTGGGGTTTTTAAGAATACATTTATTTTTTTTTTCTGTTGATTGGAATGATTTGGAAGTTAAGAGACAGGAAAAATGATGCCAGGGTAGCTTTTTGTTTTATTTTGTTTTCTGGGGATTTTTTTTTTTGTTTGTTTGGGTTTTTCTTGTTTCGGATGGTTTTTTTGGCTGGTGGCCAAGAATCCTCCCTATTGCTGCTCTGTAGTGGTTGGCTCTGAGGGCATGGAATAGAAAGGAATTGCTTTTGGTAAACAAAAATGGAGTGTTCCAGGAGGCTTGCAGTGGAGTGACATGATCTGGTGATGTAAAGAGGATGCACGAAAGAGCGCTTACTATGCAGAATGCTTAGTTGTGTGTCAGGCAGCGTTACAAAGCTGCCTCAAACCTGGTTAGCTCTGTTCTGGTTGCAAAGTAGCTTTGTTTGGCTAACTCTCCTGGAGCTGAACAGGATTTAGGTCGCGGGAGAGATGAGGTGTTGGTGGGAAAAGGCTGAGATAGGAGGCAATGAAAGGAGGGGGTGGACAGTGTCGTTTTTGAAGAAAGTTGCCATTGGGCTGTGCTGTTGGTTATGAGATTTTTAGCAAGAGTGTATCTCCTTCATTTCTTGGCTGTTCTTTCTCAGAAGGTGGAAACAGGAGGTGCTGCATCCATTGATGCGGTTTCACAGCCTGTGGGGTCCTGACAGAAAAAATGTTTCTGAAAATGGTCACGTATCCCTGGCTGGCTGCTGCAGGAGGGTGAAATCAGGGGAGTCCAGGAGAGAGGAAAGGGGTAGGATGGTAGAGAGGGGTAAAGAAAAAAAGCGCTGAAAGTAGATCATTGTGCAGGGGAGAAATACAGGAAGGTGGGGAAATACAGCTACTGTGAGCTCTGGAGGGGTGGGTGGAGGTTGACACTTTGCTCATCGATGCTCTTCAGCATCAAAGTCTGATGGAAGTGGAAATAATCTGCTTTGGCAACAGCAAGTGCCAGCACCACGGGGCACTGCAGTCCGCAGCCTCTGCGTGCCTTCGCTGCAGCTATGGACATCTGTGTTCTGACAAAGCCATTGCTCAGCTCAGCTATTCATGGCGTGTGTGGTATTCTTTCTTTCACTGCGAGGCATTTAAAGCAGACTGTTTTCTCTCTGTTTAATCCTTCAGAGGAAAGCAGGTAAAATGGAGAGTGAAAGATAATGAGAGTAAATATGGCATTTGGGCGCATTTGGAAATCAGCATGAGGGGAAAAAATAGGAAATGTGTTTGTTGTGAATGTGCTTTATCTGAGAATACCAGTTCCAGTGTGGTTTTGCTACTGCAAAATAATGGAGTCTTTTGAGCAAAACCCATAGGAGTGCAAAGATTTCAGAAGCTGTAGTTCTGCACGTGTGACCATTGGGAGCCTGTGCAGCAGGAGGCTCGGGAGGGAGGAGGGAGTGATGAGTGCTCGCTCCGTGCCGTGAAGCTCCAGCTCAGAGGTTCTCAGAAGGGCTTGGACTTGATAAGTAGCCCCTGATTTTCTTCCTTCTGATGGTTCAAACTTCCACATTTCAGCACAGATACAGATTTGAAAGCCCTGAGGTGCCTAAGAGCACATTTACCTCTAAAACACAGGTTTGAAAGGATGACAATTTGCTTGGGTAAGTAAGTACATATAGGGTAAAGCCTGGGAATGACCCTAACTGGGGTAGGTCAGGTACACAGCGGTATTTGGGGTGAGATACAGCACAAACCGTTCCCTCTGTTGGTGGTGCAGCCCAGCCCGTCCTTCAGCGGTGGCAGGTGCTACAGAGTGGCTCAGCAGCAAACTGCCAGGCATCCCAGAGCAGCCGCGTGCTCCAAACAGGGTCTCGGAGGTGCCTCGCCTTCCCGCCTCACACCTTGCTGAGAGCAAAGCGTGAAGTCCTCGAGTGAGAAAACAGATTTTTGCCATCATTTTCATATTTTTGTGCGCAGAAAGCACCTTGGGCAGAGAATGTCAGGCCAGTGCCCGGCGCACGGCCGTGTGCTGCGGTGGTCCCCCCTCTTAACTAGAACTAGAGCAGAAGAAGTCTGAAGAAGCTGAGATCAGCTGGAGCGAGAGCAGATTTTGATGCTGACAGCCTGTAATCGCCACGGGGCTGCTTGCAGTGACTCGCTAATCTGGAGGAGCTGGGGTGGTGACATTCATCTCCCGGTTTGTTCAGCATGGTGGTGAACATCAATCCGGCCCCTGCCTGTCCCAGTAATTGTCTTCTATCGCTCTCGCAGATTGCTTTTCCCTGGAGCAAAGTCCTGCTATTTTTTCATTGCCACAGCAGGGAAACAAGGCTCAGCGACAGGGAGCTGCACCATCTCCAGGGTTTTTTTGCTATTTTTTAAATTCAGTCCAAAACAAAGGCTCGCTAGTGAATAGTCCTAGCCGGGAACCTGTACGAACTCATCCCTACAGCATCTGTGGCCTCGCAGCAGCCCACGAAGCCACACAACCAGACCCGCGCCTTGTTCCAGCTTCTGCCTCTGTCTGGCTTCCTTCCGACAATTGCATTTTAACGGTGTGCTCTGAAACAAAACAAAATGCCTGTTTTCTCAGGTGTTTGGAGTTCTGACTTGCTCTGTGATTTTAAATTTATTCTTTGGTTTAAAAAAATAAAAATGAAAAAGGAGGAGCAAAGTAATGAGCAGCAGCCTGGCCAAGCAGCTTCCTTCCACCTGGGTCTGGGGCTGAAATCCTGGGACCTGCAGGAGTATTTGCTCTCGTACTCTCTGGGTTTCCTGGCCTTATACCCCAATTAATATGCAGAACTGAAAGGAACCATCAGCTTTTGGAGATCACCAGGGAATGTGTGTGTAGAACAACGGACTAAAAGGATGAAATCCTGGTACGGGTTTCGGGTCGGTCTGTGACTTCTTTTGGTACCTGCTAATGGACCAGATGAACCATGGGCCATGGGGTATGTTCTTACACCTTTCAGACTCAGTAAACGGGATCACCTCAGGGGACCCTCTTGCCTTCCTCTTCAAAAAGAAGCAAAATAACTATTTCTTCCCTAAATAATTCGTACCTTGAAGCAAACATGTAACTGTATTTGGGGGAGTGTGTGTCTGAATGCTTCACTCGGCAGCCTCGGCTGCAGGTGGTGGACGTGGGTCCTCTCACACCAGTATTAAATGTGGCCCCAGTCACCGGGGGTGACATGGACAACACAGCACCTTTGCAGCTACATGGGGCATTGTATTCCAGAGAGATGCCCAGACAGCTTACATACTTGTGACAAGCCCAGCATAAATCTGTGCATTTTGCATTGTCTCCGTGTGCCCATCCCGTGTAATTCCTGCTAAATATTCACAATTCCACAGCTGCCAGGTTTTATCAAGAACCAAAGCTCCTGGGAAAACCTGCTGCTTTCAAATACATAAAGCTAATTTTTGAGTGGAGGCAAATGCAATTCGTATTGTTTCAGCCACGCTTGGCATATGTTCCCGAGCCTAGAGATGCAGCGAGCCTCGCTAGGGATCACCGGAGAGCTCGGAAAACCAGCCAAGGAGATCCAGGCAGGCTGAGAGCTTACAGAAATGAGTGCCTTGGAAGAAGAACACGTATTGTTTCCATGCAAGTTTTATACCAATGCAGTACACGAGAAAACACACAAACCACCTGTGCATCCCTCTGCCCATGGGCATGCTTTGAAATAAGACCAGAAGGATGTTGAACACGTTTAGAAATGTGAAGCTGTTTCTCCTCCCATACGGTTTATTGAGGATCTCCATTTTCAAAGCACGAGTAGCAGTGAGGCCCCTTATTCTTTCCAACATGCAAAAGGCACAAGAAAGTCATCAATGTGATTCTGTGCAAAGTGTCTCTAAGAAAACACACAGTGAGGACGTGACAGAAAAGAGCCCCCAGTGGAAGAGAAAGCCAAAATGCCTTCAGGAAAGTGCTGAAAAGTTCTGAAAATGGTCACACTTTTTCAGAGTCCAGATACGCTCAGTCGGTGAAAGATGCTTTGCAAATCCGTGAAAGAAAACGCAAGAGACAAAGCCAAAAGGCTTAAAACAATAATCTCCTTCGTGTGCCAAAAATTCAGGATGGAAGTCAAAGTGATTTAGCTCAGGAAAAAAGTGTGGCAGTTAAAGACAGACATTAAATTTGTTAAAAAAAAGCCCACCAAAAGCAGACGTAGAAAGTGGATACATTCTGAGAGCAGCTCAATAAAAAATATTCCTTTTCATGAAAATAATTTAAAAAATGGATACTTGAAGGATGCAAATCCACCTCGACTGTGACCAGCTACTGCACCCTGCTCCCAGGAAAGCCTCCGAGCACGACAACACAGCGCCCTCGAGAAGAAGGAAGTCCCCACTACCCGCATGTGTGAAATGTGGCCAGTGAACACAAACGCACAGGACCGAGGATCCCAGTCCCATGAGTTAACTGGGGCGTCAGGAAGCTTCCCGGGGTCCCGTCTCTCCCCCTGGAGCCGGCCGGTGCCGGGGGCAGCGTCACTTCCCGGTGGGCGCAGCCGAGCCCGTGAGCCCCTGAGCCTCTCGCTGGAGTTGAATACTTAAACCTAAAAAAGGCATTTACAAGTTGACGCAAATTTTTGTCGTTGTTGTTGTCTTATTTCCTTGCAGTATACATTTCTACTTCTAGACTATGGAATGTTACATTAGACAATATAATTATTCATTAACCTTGCTTCAGATTTCATTACAGTTACTGAGGCTTCATCATAATTTCACACAGCACAGAGACACCAAACTAAACACCAAGAAGCCAGCACTAGATGTATTTTTTCTTTAAGTACCAATAAGCAAAATATCCCATTCCCCCCAGAGATCCCATCAGGAAGGAGGCTCCGAAGAAGGAGGGAGGTTTCCGCTTGACCAGCCTGAAGGCATTGGGTACCACCGCGGAGAGGAGCGTGGTGTGGATATCTCCCAAAACTTTCCTGAAGGCAAAGCGTTTCTGTATCCTGTCGAAGAAGGACTGTAGGTTAGGTCTGCTGCCATCTTCCCAGTATTTCTTAGAGAGTCCCAGAAACTTGAGGCGGTGCAGGGTGGCTCCTAATAAGACGTCGGCCAAAGTAAAGACGCATCCGCAGAGCCAAAGTTCACACTTCTGCCCTGGAGAGAGAAGCGACAGCAGCAAGGGTAAGAGGAACCCTTGGGTGGGCACCTAAAGGCTTGCTCACAAGATCCACGAAGGCAGGAGCATTCGCATGGGACCTGGGGGTTTTTTTCTCAGCTCTCTGATATCCCACGAGATCAGACCCCATCTACCAGGCTGTGCGATGGAGGATGTGTGGGGCCACAAAGCTCGGAATACGGGATAATTTATAGCCCACGTGAAGAAACAAATTGCTGTCTGCAAAACAGCTCTGCTGCCTCTCTCCCAAGTCAGGACAGCAGGAGGGGGTGTCTGCTCAGCCCCCCTTGAAGGACGATGTGGTGCAGTGACCCCTTCTGCAGTCGCAGTGCTCGGGGACAGCAGCAGCAGCGTTTTGTCCTTGGCCGTCCCGGGAGCAGTTTCAGGAGTGTCAGGTTGACTTGTCCTATTTTAGGGATGTGAGAAATCCTCAGGAATCAAAACCATTTGCTGCCCTGCCCTGGCTGCTTTCCCTGAAGGTCCTGCCTCTGTCCCCTCTCCTGCACAGGGGACCCTGCTCCAGGACACCGAAACTGGCAGCACATCTGTGCTGAGAGCCAGGATTTCGGGGGAGGCAGAGCTCAGTGAGAATGCTGGGCACAAGGAAAGACACTAAAGCATTGACACCCCTGATAATGGGTGACCCTGGAAATAATCTTCCCAGAGAGATATCCAGGAATAAACCAAGCTGTTGTTAGGCTGGAAGAAGCAGGCTCAGGCCAGGACAGTGTTAAACCCTCCTCCGCTGCCCTTTCAATGCTGAGGAGCAGGGCTGGGATGGAGCTAAGGTGGAGGAAGGGAGGTGCAGGGAAGGAAGAACAGCAGAAGGGGCACAAAACCTGGCCCCATCCAGCCTGAGCCCCTGGCTTTGCACCAAATCCTTAATTTTGGTGCTCTTGCACTGTCCTGTGGCTCTTACAAAAAAAAAAATAGAGAGCAGCTCCTTCCCTGCGCCCCAACACTGGTCCTCAGGGCTGCCTGTAGGGCCAGGCTGGGGGAATTAATGGTAATTAGCAGCCCTCATTTGTAGCCGCTTGGCAGCCTCCCTAATCCTGCTGGAGGCACAGCCCAAGTGGACAGATTGCCAGTGCCTAATTAGTCAATAAATGTTTTCAGCGACTAATGAATTATGGGAGTGCCATGGCCAGAGCCTCCCGGGAGCTGCGGGGACCCTGAGGATGCTCTGGCTCAGAGGTAAGGGCAGGGGATGGAGGTGTCTGCCTCACTCCAGGCACTGCTGCGGGCACACGTGAGGATGGTGACTTTGGGAGAGAGCCATGACCCCACCCTGCTCCTCCTGGCTCTGGGCTTGCACCCGCTGCTGAGGTGTGGACCCGGCTGTGGGGTGCCCCAGCCCCCTGCAC